AATGCTGACTCGGTAAGTTTCTCTAGAACGGAGCATTTCACACCAAACCACTCTGAATGACTCTGTTCACATCTCTACCACTGAATTATGCAGTTTTTTTAATGGTGGAATACTGGATCAGGAATAACTTTGTCAGTTGTTCCTTCAGTTTCACAAAGAAAAAGTAACTACAGAGATTTTCTGTTTAGCGAGACGTCAGCAAACTTTTGATAAGCAATATGTGAACCGCGCTGAGCCAGGCCTCTAAAACCCAATATAGAAAGGGTTGTTCTGTCAAATGAGCTGATTCTGACCCCAGCGTCCTCAGTAATCACTACACAGAACAGCAGTCGTTATATGAAAAGTGGACATGGAGTGAACTTTGCTCATTCGTATCGCAGCCAGCTGCTCGCTGACTTTTAAGTGTTGCTTTTTCATGTGCCTATTACATAATTACACCAGCGGGCAGCTAATCGAAAGCAGGCCGTGTGCCCATGCCAGGGTGTGTGGAGGGTCACTGGCGGCCCGGGGGACCGAAGGGCAGAGGGAGTGTGAAAAAAGAAAAAAAAAAACTAAATCTCTTCTGATCTGAATCTGAAAGGCATCTTGTTAGCACTGTGTTTTCATCTCTCTCTGCACGATTGGGCAGGAAAGGATTATCGGATTACTGCCGTGTGGGTCTATGTGTGTGTGGGAGAGGATGCGTGCATGTGCACGTGTGTATCGGTGCTGGTTTTGAAACTCTGTGGGATATTCTGGGTGCGTTTATGCGTCCGTCTGAGTGCTGTTCTGAAACCGTGCACCTCAGCTGGTGTTTATGGAGGTATACTGAGGTGTGTGAATGTGGGAAACAGGCTTGTGAACTGCTAAAACGCTCAGGCACAATCAGATTAGCTGGTTCCTCTCCTGCCAAATGTTGTCTCGGCCACCCTGTCTGACCCGCAACTGGATGGCTACACCTGAAACCCCCCCCACGCGTTTAAAGGCGAGGGGTTTTAGAGTGCATTTGTTTTCGCGCAGTTTCAGAACCAAAACATTCGGATTTTGACCTGAGAAACATCTCTGTGTCCTTCATGTCATGACTTTGTTTTTGGCTCTTCAGGTAAAGACTAGAGCTAGAGAACAGATTCTCACAGTTGCATGCAAAAGTTTGGGCGCTCCTGGTTAAACTATATGGTTTGTTGATTTTCTGAGGGTAAATAAGTGACAAATTCTCTCCAGAGAACATAATTCTGCACATTTTACTGCACAAGAACGGTTTATTAACTGAATTTAACATATAAACATAATAGGTGGCCTGTGCAAATTTATTTTTAATTAATACATTAATAAAAAGCAATTAATTTTATCCAAATGTAATAAACATGTAATTGTATATTTAATGTTGTATTTTTTCTGAAATTCTATGTCCTCTGTAAAGAATGTTATTATCACCTAAAACAAATCAACAAACCATGACATTTGACCACATTTAATTACAGATTGTTGCTGTCAGAACAAAATCATCATTTTTAATGTAAGTTTATGCATCTATAATTTATTCAAGGTGAACATACAATGTTTTGTCCCAACAGCCACAATATATATGTAATACATATTGGACATATTTTTATTACATATAGATGTAATCTATGTAATAAGGGGCATTCCAGCCTAAAACCTAAAGCCTTTTTTAATGTTATTCGTCTCTGTACAAATAAACTAACAGCTTTGCACACTTGTAGCCTCTCAAAGTTCACCTTCACCTTCAAGATACATCATCAGAAGGGAGCTTTTCTAGTCATAACACCAGGAAAGCTTTAGAGACTACTTTGAGGCTGCTTTAAGAGGTAAGTATGCATGTTCACAGATATAGATGTAGCTAAGGTTACGTTTTAGAGGTAGGAGCACCTCTTTAATGTACTTGTAATGTAATTTTATTACTAGTAGTAGTTTTGGATGATTTCTATTGGTCATTAATGTTCACACCATGCCAAAAAGTGACGGTGTTTTCAAAAGATGTGTAAAAAAGGAAGTTTTTGCATGACAGCGGTGAGATACGAGGCACGTGTATAACCCCACATCCTTATACCGTATAAAAACACGTGCTTGTGTTGGGAGTTGCATGTTACATCCATAATCCATTATAGATGCTTCACAGACTTCATGTCTATGTGTGATTACTTTCCGAAACGCTGTGATTAGAATAATCTCTCCATATGGACAGCAGGCTCGGCAGCTGAGAGGTGTCTTTAAGGTGAACTGTATATTTTGACTGATCGTTTTCACTTTCTGCTGCTTTCAGGGGCTTTTTTTGGCTTGGAAACTGAGTGTTACATGCACAGCTTGCACGCTTCCCTAGTGTGAAGATGCACGCACACACAGACCCCCCCCTTTGGCTCGGGGGCTCATCTGTGCGGCGAGCTCAACATGCACACACGTGGGACCCCTGTTAAAATGACTTCATAGAAATGAAAGGCCAAAGTGCATTCAGTCTGTCATCCACACAGTAAAAGATCAAAAGGGGGCAGAGGTTGATTAGACGGGTTTTTTAAATTTGGGTGGATAGACTGAAGTTGGATTCATGTTATTTTGCTTTTCTTTTAATTAGGTTCAGGTTGAATGACGCTTTTTATATTAAAGGGGGGTTTTTCAAAAGTTCGGCATAATTAAATGGTTAAGATGTAAACAAAGTGAATTAGTGACTCCTGGTTCAGCACGAGTCCATACACTTCTCTACAATGAAGCATTTCACATCAAAGCTCTCTGAATGAGTCTCAAACATTGAACTGTGCAGACATTTAGTAAAAAAATGACTTTAACAGCAGTTTGGAAAAAAAATGAACTTGATCCAAGTCTGTACATCATGTCTTGTCTTTTGTGGATAACTGTGTTGGTGTAATATACTTCACACAAACAGAAACACTATACATTTGAATCAAGCCAAAGCAGCAGTTATTCAGTTCATTCTGAATGCTTCTGTTTCTTTTTGAGCAAAGAGGGGGGAAAAAAAGGGTTCTGCATCCCTGAAAAAGCCCGGTTTCAAAGAGGACGCGCACCTGTGCATCTGACAGTAAGGTCTTTAGAGTTTTAGAGATGCCTCAGCTCATCTGATCAAATGCACTCAGCTCAGACAGTTACTTCCTGCTGAAACGCACAATTTCACGTTTTTATCTCAGCTCAGTTCTTTGTACTACACTCTCAGGAAAGAAGGTATTAAACTAGGGTGCTTCCCTCAAGTGTACGTCTTCAGGACCTTTAGTTAGAGAACATAACTACCGTATTCCATTGCAGTTATGTTTATGTTATGTAAGTTGCATCGACTCTGTACACCATGTCTTAACTAGGGATGTGCACATCTACTCGAGCACTCGGTTAACCGTTCGAGGTGCCAGTAATCGAATTCCTTACTCACTCTGAACTGAGTAAATCAGCAGGTTTTAACTGGACTGTGCAATGTGACAGCTTTGTCAGTAAGTATGCCACACCGTGCTACTACAAAACAAGCGTGAGCCCATGTTATAAGGACGTGGCTAAGAAGTCAGAGAATGTGGCCAGGTCTGGCTCTGCTTTTATGCTAAGTAGGCTAACCACCATGTTGGCACAATGTCCACTGAGGAGAAAAGACCTCCTGTAGACGACTGCAAGCCCTCTTCAGCATCCAGCTTTGTGCCGGTTAGCATTAGCTCTTTAGCTTAACTGAAGAGGAAGCTTCTGTTACTCATCCGACACAAAACCTACCGATTTCCCTCGGCTATCTTACAATAATAAAAGATGTTTTTAAACCTCCGGTGCTGGCACCTAAAAAACAAGCCCATAGCCCAAAGCTAACTTAGGCCAAAGTCCAGTTTCTTTTCCTTCCCCGTGGTTAACCAGACATCCGTTCATTAAGTCTTACGGATATTAGTCAAAATGCACATCCCTAGTTTTCACTTTGAGTGTATTTTATTTTATTTTTCTATTTTAAGACATTAGATTGTGGAAAAGGTACAAATATCCTTCTTTCCTCTGCGAAAGTGAATGTAGCGTACCTTTAAATCGCATTTAAGGTACACAATTGGACCTCAAGACCATTGTTATAGCTTTGAGGGCGCATTTAACCTAAACTGTACCTGTACGGAACCTTTTTTTCTGACAGTGTAGAGGAGCCAGAGAGGTTTGGGCCAAGCACACAAGCAGTGTGGATTAGCTCTGCAACCCATTAGGCTGGAGAGCAAGGAGACGCACTGTGTGGGTGTGTAGATGTGTATGGCGGTAATCTGTTAATCTCGTTAATGCCACAGCAGCCGGCACCCTAATGCTGGGTACATGAAACAAAGCAAGGACAACGCAGTGACCAGCAGATGATGGCTGTCGTTTGCACATATTGCTTCCACTTGAAAACTCTAATAGAAAGAGGGGGACCTCTATTAGATTAGATAGAGAATAGAAGTGCTCAGTAGAGGCGGGCAATATGGCGATATTTATTATTATTATGATAAAATACATCACAATACGCCACAATAAGCTTTTCTGAGTTAATATTGGGGATATTCTCTGTCCTTAAAGTCCACAAACTTCTTGTTTAATTACAAAGAGAGCATAATTAGGGATGATAGTATTTTACAGCACTAATGGAGAGTTTGTGTTTGTTCAAATTCAATACTGTGGTACACGTCATATACTTCGTGAGGTATTGTGATGTTCGATTTCTGCCATATTGCCCACACCTACTGCACAGCTTTATGCTGATGCAATGACAAATGTACCAAACTTTAACCAAAGCTTCAATTTCATCGATTTCAATGTTTGGCATAAGTCATATGTTGAAACATAAATGGTTACTGTTGTGTCTGAAGTTTAGATGATGGGTTTCTTTAGGATATTTCTTCCAGTTTGGGGATAAATCCTCCTTTTTTTGTTTCCTTCTGCTTGACGAACACATTGGACGCCTCATCTGACATGAAATGATCCAAGAAAACAGATCCATCATCAGTGGGACAGTGCAGTCTGCTACCATTCTGGCCACAGGATGAGTGAACTAATCTAGCATTTCCACCATAACGGAGCAGATGCTAAGATGGGGTGGACGGACTACCCATCGTTCAAGTAATGTCAGGTGTGTGCCGTTCAGTTTCTGTGCCTCAGAATGACCTGGGCAGAGGCTTGGGCAGAGCTTTAGACTTAAACTGGCTCAGAGGACAAGTTAATATTGTCTTGTTTCTTGTCTCTATTCGTTTTAGTGATAGGTTCCGTCCCATTGAGGGAAAACTGCTTACATCTCTGATGACCCAGGGTCATTTGGCCACATGTCGCAATGAGAATTACTACTGGAAACGTAGTTGCAAAGAATCATCAACATACTCCATTTTCAAGGCACCTCGCATCTGCTTCGAAATTGGTCAAAAAGCAGATTTAATTTCCGATTTTTGACGAATGTCAAGGCAGTGTCGAAGGTCAAGCGCCTGAGAAGATCAGACAATGATTGAATGATTTTGAAGTGGCCCTACAGATCTTTACACCGCTGAGGTATTAAGAGATACTGAATTTCAGGTCAGGGCTGATTTTTGAGGACAAGGACACAAAAGACGCAAAGATGTGTTGAGGGAGCTTTTTTTCTCTCTCTCTCTCTTTCTGTCTCTTTCTTTTTCTCCTCTGCACTCACCGGTCCAGCAGCCGGCCATAGTCCTGCGGGCCGCAGCCGCCTTCGCTTTTGAGCTCGGCGAAAACCTGCGTGAAGAAATGTGGATCTGCGTTGATGCGGAGCATTTTAGAGCTTGTGGCATCGATGATGGCCAAACAGCGGTCCCAAAAGGCCTCTTTGGCTGCCTCCACTAGAAACGGCTTGAGAGGGTAGGATATTTCATTGCCCATGTAAGAGTAGGACAGATAGAGGCAGGTTAGGAGAATGGCTTGGAGCTCATGTTCTGACGAAACAAGGTCGCCATCCACCACATCACGGCAAAGCATGTATACGAAAACCACATTGGCTGGAGTTACAAAGGCCTGGTCCTGCCAGCCCTGGAGGAGAAGCGATCGATCCACAGCCCGGAGCCACAAAACTGGATCAGCAGGGGATAGGTGCTTTAGCCGGTAGCATCGACCGCACAGAAACTCCCCCAGACAGCGCAGGAGCTCGCTAGTAGACGCCTGGACGATCACACGCTTCGGAGACCCAGCGCAGGTACCGTGAGGAACCTTCTTGACTGAAGAAAGCTGCTGAGGCTTACCGTAGCTTACCAAGGCAGGCCCGATTCCCATGCCCATCCCCAGGCCTAGACCTGCTGGGCCTTCATAGTTGGAGAGGTTGGCGCACGAAAGAGATTTCTTCACATTTTCACGATTGAGGTGCAAGACGGAAGGGTCCTTCTGGTTCTGGTATATATTGTTGTTATTAAGTGGAGCTCCAACCGCTCCCTGGGTTGGATAAGCTTTCTTGGAGCTGCCCCGTTTCTTGGTAGAGGCCACCAGCCGCTTCCAGGTCAGGGCGGGCAGGAAAATGGACTGTCCTCGCTTGAGGCCGCCACGCTCCTTCTGAGGGCAGTTCAGCGAGCGGCTGCTCAAGCTCGGGTAGCGGCTGAGGGACCCTGGCCGGTCGTCATAGTAACCAGGTTTCCGGGGACCCGGAGACAGGGACAGCACGGTGCCCATGGCGAGCGGACTGACGAGACCCCACGATCCAAAGGTTAAACTGCGTGGGCTCACGCAGGAGGACCTCTGATGTCAGACTGTGTTATTGCTCCAGTTTAGTGGCTGAATTCCCTCAGAGCAAGACAAGAGAGGTAAACAGCAAAGATGGACCCTGGAAAAATTACATACAACATATTAGATTGCAAGAAACAGTAAATCAGCTTTTTATAGTGGCTCAGCTGAAACATGCACTACCCATCAAAAGTTTGGAAACACCTTGCCTTCTTTGGAAACTTGAATCGTCTCACTTTTTTGTTAACAAAAATAGCTATTTACTAGTGCTATGGGTACGTCCTTGGTATGAAGAGCAGGTTTTGCCTAAATAATGTTTTAACTACTCTTAAAAGCACATATTGAAACTCCTTTGACTCAACGGTTCCTTAGCGCAAGAGCTGTTTACCTCTTAGACCAGCTTAGGCTTTAATAATATATTACTGCCAACTGACAAAGCAAAAACAATTGTATTAAACAGAGTAGGCGGGTAAGGGGAAAAATGGGGACCGTCTGACATGTAAAAAGCACCAAAACATACAGATTTAATCAGGAAATTACATACACATCATTATTAGGCCACAACAAAGGGCAATAATCAGTTCAAAGTAGGTTGGTGTACGTATCGCTGTTGTCAGAGGAAAACCTCATATCTCCAAAATGGTAACTTTACAGGAGAAGGAAAAAACCTACTTGACTTTTAATGTAAGTCAATGGAACCAGAATTTTTTCCAAGTCATTTTGGGTCGTTTCTTTTAGTCCATTCATCATGACATTTACACACAATGTAAAGAGTAACATGTATTTTCAAATTATGTCAAAAACTGAAAAACGTCAAAAATGGAGACGCAAGTTTTTCTTCTGACAGCAGCGATATAAAATGAGAAACTAAGGACCCTGTGATATAAAAAGCATGCATTTTATTAAACACAAATTAAGCGTAGGCTATAAACAATATTAATAATTAGTTTTGATAGGTTAATTGACATATGAGAGGGATGATCTGGCATGTAAAAAGCTTTAAATTTATCAGCAACCAATTTATAGTAGGTCAGGCAGTGTTTAAGGGGGAAAACAAACACTTTAAGACATATAAAGAGCACCAAAAGAAAGGTCAGAAGGAAAATTAGGACATTTTGAAGTTAAAAGCACTAAAGCTAAACAAATACGACTAGCAACATCATGTACAGCTTAAGATTAAACTGCTACTTCACTAATCCATTTATTATAGGTCAGTAGAGATGTAAAGGGGCAAATTGACAGCCTGTGATATCTAAAAAAAGCATTGAATGTTTCTAGGAATATTATATACATATTAGAATTAGGCTACACCAAACATTTTCAATCAGTTTAAGGGAGGTAAGAAGGAAAAATAGAACATTTTGGTTCAAAACTCACAAAAAATCATTGCAAAAATATATACAAATTGAAATCAGTGTATAGTAGGTCAGCTGATAAATAAGGGGCAGACTGACACCCACAGAGCACTAAAAGACTATGATATACATATCATGATCAATGCTTTAGCAGCCAATTTAGAGCAGAGCATGTGATATATAAAAGGAAATCATGACCTTCTGATGAAAAGAGCACTAAAACTCATAAATGTGTCCAGCAAGATTTTACACACATTAAGATTTCACCACAACAGATACCAGAAATCAATTTAGGCTGATATATAAGGGGGAAATTGGCATATATAAGCAGTAAAATTCATTGAATTGTGTTTGCATGAAGGTGAATAAGGCAATAATGCACAAAAGGAGCTTCCCAGGCTGCCCGTGTCCAGCGTGGTCCAGCTCCACACTGTACCAGACACGGATTTGCAGGGCATTGTGTTTCCCCTCAAACACCCCTGAGTCTCGTGAGGGAGACAGACAGCAAATCTGACCCACTTACGCAGGGGCAGAGCCTGCGACCCAGGGGCGTTTTGGACCACGGCATAACTCAGTCCAAGTGGACTCTCCTTAAATGACCACTCTGTATAACTCTCATAGAGAGCACTAATACTATAATCCCATATGATTAAAGTTTATGTCTGAAGCAGACTGCATTAAATCCAGTGCGTAAAAACAGTCCCTTGGCTTCCAATTCAAATTCTCCAATCCACCTTAAATGGTGCAGGAGCTCCTCTGGAGCCCGGGGCGCCAGAATGTAACTGCTGCCCCATTTAAGGTGGAACGGAGAACTGGAATAAGAAGCTGGCGAAGCCCTTGTGTATCTGTGGAAGAATCAGGGATGCTCACCTACACGGTTGATGTCCAGATCGCTCCAACTTGTGCATGCACGGTGCGTCTCCAAGCCAGGAGGCAAAACTCATTCACCTCAAAGGCTTGACCCCCAGTTAAGCACAAGCGATGCTAGAAGAGTCCAACTGAGTGGACAACACTGTCAACACGCATGCCCTGCTTTTCAAACGCGCACCAAATCCAGACGTGCGGAGAACTTCTCTCAACATGGCTTGAAGCAGCGCGAACAGCCGGTTTAAATATCCAGTCCGGCTGCAGCGTCGCTCCGCTCCTCTCAGCTCAGCGTAGGAGTGAAAAGCGGCGCTGTTTCAGAGAAACTGGCTGCGTGTCTCGCGGTCTGAACGCACTGAGCTGCAGCGCGTCAAAGCTGTGTGGAAACTCCTCCTGGCGGAGCGCAGTGTTATTGTTTTTTTCCCACCCGTATTCTGACAAGTCGCGCCCTCCTGCGCTGAGATTGGCTACTAGGTCATGCTTACTTATATACGACTAGCCAATCCAAGCACAGGAGGTGGGGCTTGGCTGAATGAAATTGGTGGAAAATGTAATCAGCCAATCACAGCACATAAGGCGGCATTTGTGAATGAAGGTGATGTGAAATAAAATGTCTTACTAGCCAATCACAGCACAGGAGGCGGGGCTTTTGTGAATAAAGGTGGTGGAAATAATATCAGAGCTGGTTTAAGAGGAGCCTGGCCGCTTCCTATTTCCCCTGTTATATCAAAAACAGGACTGTAAAACAGCAGAGGGCGCCCGCGAGCGAGTCCGCAATGAATGAGGGTTGATAGAGCTAAATGGCTAAAAACGAAAAGTTAAAATAGTTTCTAATCACTCACCCAGAACTTTCCTTTAATTTTAGAAAGTAAAAGGATGAGTTTCACTAAAAGAGCAAAGAAAACCAACCTGAATGGGCAGTACAATGCTAGCATTACTGCTACTGAGTGCTGACTGGTTGGCGAGTGGAGCAGCTCATTAGCTGTTCGTGCTCACTGACTTCATGAACATACATGAGGTGCCATTTTAATCTCCTATCACTCGAGTTCAAAATATAACAGCAGCGTTAAAATGTTTTATGCTATTCAGTGTTCAGGATATTAATGCATTCTTTTATATTAAAAATGTTTAAGCATTTATAAACTATGATTTTACTCAAATGCTCCATCTTAACCCATTCTTTTTGCACTCGCTTGGGAGTTATGATATATCACTCCCCTTATAATATATCCTACTAGCCAATCACAGCACAGGAGGCGGGGCTTGTGTGAATGAAGGTGGTGGGAAATAATATAAGTAGCCAAACACAGCACAGGAGGCGGGACTTGTGTGAATGAAGGTGGAAGGAAATAATATACTCGCCAATCACAGCACAGGAGGAGGGACTTTTGTGAATAACCTTGGTGGGAAATAATATATTCAATAAGCCAATCACAGCACAGGAGGCGGGACTTGTGTGAATGAAGGGGGTGGGAAATAATATATTCAATAAGCCAATCACAGCACAGGAGGCGGGGCTTGTGTGAATGAAGGGGGTGGGAAATAATATATTCAATAAGCCAATCACAGCACAGGAGGCGGGACTTGTGTGAATGAAGGAGGTGGGAAATAATATGTCCTACTAGGCAATCACAGCACAGGAGGCGGGGCTTGTGTGAATGAAGGGGGTGGGAAATAATATATTCAATAACCCAATCACAGCACAGGAGGCGGGGCTTGTGTGAATGAAGGGGGTGGGAAATAATATATTCAATAAGCCAATCACAGCACAGGAGGCGGGGCTTGTGTGAATGAAAGCAGTGGGAAATAATATATTCAATAAGCCAATCACAGCACAGGAGGCGGGGCTTGTGTGAATGAAGGGGGTGGGAAATAATATATTCAATAAGCCAATCACAGCACAGGAGGCGGGGCTTGTGTGAATGAAGGGGGTGGGAAATAATATATTCAATAAGCCAATCACAGCACAGGAGGCGGGGCTTGTGTGAATGAAGGGGGTGGGAAATAATATATTCAATAAGCCAATCACAGCACAGGAGGCGGGGCTTGTGTGAATGAAGGGGGTGGGAAATAATATATTCAATAAGCCAATCACAGCACAGGAGGCAGGGCTTGTGTGAATGAAAGCGGTGGAAAATAATATATTCAATCAGCCAATCACAGCACAGGAGACATCCTTGTGCAGGAACCAGGACAATCAATTAGCTAATCCTACTGCAGGAACCAGGATAGTACTCATCAATCCTAACGCTGGTAATGGGGCTACTACTCCTCAGTCCTAGCAAAGTTAGGGAAATACTACTAGCCTTATAGTGCAGAACAGAGGACAGTACTAGACAGTCCTGTTGCAAAAGGCAGGATGCAGCTCGTTAATTCTGATACAGTAGATGGGACACTGCTGACCAGTGCTACTGCAGGGAGCTAATAAAATCTACCACAGATTGCAGGTATTGTTAATAGTAAGTTTATGCAACATTTCAGCATTTGTGTAATGTAAAAGATTTAGCATATTTTATGCACTGGATGGTGATTGGTCCTAGACTGTTGAAATTTGGGTAAGAGATGCTCATGAGCACAAGTATGAACACAAATGAGAGATGGGACACCCTGCAGACCTCACCCTGTGAGCTCATGCAAATGAGGACCGCAAAATGCACCAATCACAGTTGCCTGACCAACTTACTTTGTCTGAGCTGCCTTATGCTCACAATTTATATTGGACCAATGTAGATAAGCAAATTTTTAAAAAAGCAAATTAAGCCAAATCTAGAGCTCTTGTGGTCTCTTGCCCTATATGTCATTGTTGGCATCACTAAACTGACATAGGACTATTTGGGACAGACCCCAAGTCTACTTATTCAAACCTTCCTGCCACAAAGCTTCACAATCAAGTGGTCCCCATGTTCCAGTCAACGTGTACAAGATTTTAAGACACAAAGCATCTTTTGACACACTTTTTAATGTGTATCCATGCAACAGGAGCTCACAATAAGAGCTGTTAGGTAATCATCTCTTTTCTGGAAGAAAATACAAAATTCTAAACATAAGGCCAAGACCTCTTGCACCGCTTAAGGCGAGGCATATGCTGTGGAAGATATTAATAAATTCTTGCTATTTTTGAGGCAAAGAGAGAGCAAATAATGAATGGTTGTTGGTTAAACAGCCACAGGAAGAGCACAGAGTGAATGAAGTGCTCCACTGAAACACAAGGACCTTTTCATGTCATCATCGTGATTAGGCGCAGGAGTGCGGGGCATTAATGAAGCTTGAAGGAGTCGGAGGATCCTGAGCGGCGACGGCAGGCGGACTGATGCAAGCAGGTGTAAAGCTGCTCTTTTGAAACGTCACACAGAAAAACAGGCTCATTTTTGTTCGCCTTCTGGCCACAAATGTGGGATAGCATGAGCTGAGTGACGTTACTCCCCCTCACACGGTGCAGTCATGCTTACTGCACACGACAGCCAGTGTTTTCATGTATGCTTCATCGACAGCTTACAGGGTGCAGGCTGTCCATTCGTAACGAGGGGGTGGCTCAGCCACGTCTTGTTGCTGTTTTTGGTAAATGGGCCTGCTGTGACATTTCTCATTCTGACTGAACGTTGTGAGAGTGAGGGGACAGGAAGAAGTGTATATGCGTATGTGCACTTGTAAATCAGAGAAAAGAAGGCGAGAAGACTTGCTGTTTCTGCTGTAATTCATGGCACAGTCCAAGCATTAATATGTTTATTTAAATAATGAATAAATTGGCCATTTAAATATTGAATAAAATCACTAAAGTTGGCATTGGCAGTGGACACGCATTCAGAACCATGCTTCAACGTCTAGCAGTCTGATGGATGAAACTGGGTCTGCTGGATGTCAGGAGAACACTGCCTGCTTAAATGCAGAGTGCCCACTGTAAAGTTTGGTAGAGGAGGGATAATGAGCTGGGGCTGTTTTACATGGTTTGGGACGATCAGATTTACAGGCAAATCTTAATGCTGCAGCGTATGGTCACACATCAGAGCAGGTTCTCAAACTTTTTTGGTCTTGGGGGTTTGAAGTGCAATACTTTTGGTGGGCCGAGGGCCAAAAAGACAAAACAGCATATAAAACAAAAAGTACATAATTGAATAAGATGTGTAAGATAAGGCATATCATCATGACCACCTCCTTGTTTCTACGCTTGTTGTCCATTTTATCAGCTCCACTTACTATATAGGTGCACTTTGTAGTTCTACAGTTACAGACTGTAGTCCATCTGTTTCTCTGATACTTTGTTAGCCCCCTTTTACCCTGTTCTTCAGTGGTCAGGACCCCCGTGGACCCTCATAGTGCAGGTACTATTTGGGTGGTGGATCATTCTCAGCACTGCAGTAACACTGACGTGGTGGTGGTGTGTTAGTGTGTGTTGCGCTGGTCTGAGTGGATCAGACACAGCAGTGCTGCTGGAGTTTTTAAACACTGTGTCCACTCACTGTCCACTCTATTAGACACTCCTACCTTGTCAGTCTACCTTGTAGATGTAAAGTCAGAGACGATAGCTCATCTGCTGCTGCACAGTTTGTGTTGGTCATCCTCTAGTCCTTCATCAGTGGTCACAGGAGGCTGTTGGCTGGATATTTTTGGTTGGTGGACTATTCTCAGTCCAGCAGCAACACTGACATGTTTAAAAACTGATGTTGTCCGTACAGCTGGAGGAGGTTCATATTGAGCGCTTGTAAAATTAAATAATAAACTTTATGCTCACTTAAACCATTTACAGTTCACTGCATTGATCTGTAATGATTTACAAGTGAAATCAATCTTTTTGAAGTTGGCTGAATCTTTTTGAATCACCCTGCGTAACGTAAGTGAAATGAATTCTCCGTCCACATAAGACAAAGTATTTAATGGCCTCACACACCACCGTCGTCTACAGCGCTGCCTCTTTCATCTCTTCCATAGCAGGTACATTATTACTGTGTTTGTTGTTGTCATTTGACTCTGGATTGCCCTCTAGAGGACGTACTGCTTAACATCCATGCCATCAAAAAGGAAACAGGGAAGTGTGAGTGCAGTGATGGTTGCATTGAAACAGACATGTTTATTTCATACATAAAGGGAGTAAAAATGAGACTTTAGGGTCATTTTTTGGGCCAAATCAAACATCACCCCAGGCCAACTTTGGGCGGCTCTGTTTTAGAGAATTGGCTCTCACTTTATTTGAATAGTCCACTATAGTCCCCTATAGATTATCTATAGATGTTCAAATCATTAACAAACTTCCTGTTGAAACTTGACCTAAACAGTGTGGGGTTAGGGTTAGGATCAGGGCCAGGGTGAGGGTTGGGTTTAGGTTTTGGGTTGGGGTTAAGGT